CCAATGGAGAAGAGAGATCTACTAAGGAACTCTGCTTTGATTTTGATGACTCCCCACTAACCACAGAATGGAAGGAGAGGATTTCCCAGAAGTTAAGGGACATGTCAGAAGTTTTTGCTATGCATGATTTCGATGTTGGGCGAACTGACAAGGTGAAGCACAGCATCAAGCTACATGACAATACTCCCTTTAAGCACAGGGCCCGACCCATACATCCTGATGACTTCGAGGCAGTTTGTCGACATCTGGAAGAGTTGCTTGAGGCTGGAATCATCCGGGAATCTGAATCATCCTTTTCGTCACCCATTGTGGTTGTCAAAAAGAAAAACGGCGATGTGAGGCTATGTATCGACTATCGTAAATTGAATACACAGACCATAAAGGATGCTTATGCACTGCCGAATCTTGAAGAAGCCTTTTCGGCACTCCGTGGAGCTAAGTGGTTTTCAGTGCTTGATCTTAAGTCTGGCTATTACCAGATTGAAGTGGAGGAGAAGGATAAGCTCAAAACCGCTTTCGTTTGTCCTCTTGGGTTCTGGGAGTTTAATCGAATGCCCCAGGGGATAACGAATGCTCCCAGTACATTTCAGCGTCTAATGGAGAAGTGTATGGGCGATATTAACCTCACTGAAGTTCTGGTATTCTTGGATGATTTAATCATATTTTCTGAGACACTAGAAGAACATGAAATCCGCCTTTTGCATGTCCTAAATCGCTTGAAAGAATATGGATTGAAGCTTTCTGTAGAGAAGTGTAAGTTTCTCCAGACGTCTGTTAGGTATTTAGGACATGTTGTGTCACAGAATGGCGTGGAAACCGATCCTCAAAAAATAGAGACCATTAAAACCTGGCCAAGTCCTAAGACTCTCAAAGAATTGCACTCTTTCTTGGGGTTTTCTGGCTATTATCGCCGTTTTATCCGAGATTACTCCAAGATCGCAAAGCCACTAAATGACTTGACTGTCGGATATCCACCGCTCCGCAAGAACTGTAAAGGCAAGAGCAAGATAACGTCTTACCTGAGTCCTAAAGTGCCTTTTGGAGGAAGATGGACAGAAAGTTGTCAACAGGCTTTTGACACGCTCATAGAGAAACTCACCACAGCACCCGAATTGGGATTTGCTGACCCCACACTACCATACGAGTTGCACACCGATGCCAGCACCACCGGGCTAGGTGCCGCACTTTACCAGCAGCAAGGGGGAGAACTGCGAGCAATTGCTTTCGCCAGCCGTGGGCTTTCAAGGAGTGAGGCTCGTTACCCTGCTCACAAGCTCGAGTTCTTGGCCCTAAAATGGGCAGTCACGGAGAAGTTTTCTGATTACCTGTATGGAAGCAATTTCAAAGTGGTCACAGATAGCAATCCGTTGACTTATGTGTTGACATCTGCAAAACTGGACGCGACAAGTTACAGATGGCTTTCTGCCTTGTCCACATTCTCTTTCACTCTTCAATATCGGCCAGGAAAGAGTAACCTAGATGCAGATGGATTGTCAAGACGGCCTCATGGAATGCTTACGAACGACAGGATATCACAGAAGGAGCAGGAACGCATACGTCAGTTCACTTTGCACCACTTACCTGAGGAGGGGAATTCAGTCTTGGTCTCCATGTAGTCCAAGCTATCAACGATAAACATCTGGTACGCACAGCTGAGGACGGTGATTACATTCCTCTGATTGAGTCCCTTTCTGTGAGTTCAGAGGAGATTCCTGAGACTTATGGATGTTTTGAAGGATTTCCAGTGGTTCCTCAGATGACAGAGAAAGAGCTTAAAGATGAACAAAGAGCTGATCCAGCAATACAGGAAGTCGTCTTACAGCTGGAATCAGGGAAACCTTCTTTGCCTGTACTGAGGAAAGAATTACCAGAACTTCCATTTTTCCTACGAGAATGGAAAAAGTTAGAGCTGAAGGACGGTATCCTTTATAGGAAAAGAGTGGTTGGTGAACATACAACTTACCAGCTTGTTCTCCCAAAGAATCTGAGGCCACTTGTCTTGGAGCAACTGCATGACAATATGGGCCATATGGGTATGGAAAGAACCCTTGACCTTGCCCGAGCCCGTTTTTATTGGCCAAGGATGGCTACAGATGTGGAGGTGAAGATCAAGACGTGCAACCGGTGCGTGTGCAGAAAGACTCCACCTGAGAGAGCAGCGCCATTAGTGAATATTCAAGTATCTAGGCCACTTGAGTTGGTATGTATGGATTTCCTATCTTTGGAACCAGATCGTAGCAATACAAAGGACATCTTGGTGATAACTGATTATTTCACGAAGTACGCTGTAGCGGTCCCCACATCAAATCAGAAGGCCAAGACAGTCGCAAAAAGCCTTTAGGAAAACTTCTTTTTTGCACTATGGCATACCTGAAAGGCTTCATAGTGATCAGGGGCCTGATTTTGAGAGCAAGACCATTAAAGAGTTTGTGTGAGATTGCTGGCATTCGGAAAGTCCGAACCACACCGTATCATCCCAGAGGAAACCCGGTTGAACGGTTCAACCGAACGCTGTTGAGTATGCTGGGTACTCTGGGAAACAAAGACAAGACCCATTGGAGAGACTTTGTGACGCCTGTTGTGCATGCATATAATTGCACTAAACATGAAACTACAGGGTTCACTCCATATGAGCTGATGTTTGGCCGGCAGCCTAGGTTGCCAATAGATCTCGCTTTTAGAGCACCTGTGAGTAACAGCCATAATGAGTTCCATTCCCAGTATGTGAAAGCTTTGAAAACACATTTGCAGGAGAGTTTTGAGCTTGCCAGAAAGAATGCAGCAAAGGTTGCAGCAAGGAACAAGACACGGTATGACAAAAGAGTGACCGAATCTTCACTTGATGAGGGTGATCGAATTCTTGTCAGAAATGTGCGTCTCACAAATTGGCTGAATGTGCGACAGCACAAATTGGCTGATAAATGGGACTCTGAAGTATACATTGTGGTGAACCGTGCTGGTGAGCTTCCTGTTTACACCGTGAAACCAGAAGGAAAGGAACCTTTGCGGACGCTCCATAGGGACTTATTATTGCCTTGTGGTTTCTTGTCACCCTCTCTGGATGAAGAGAAAATGGTACTTAAGTCACAAAGAGGGAGAACAGTTCCGAAAGAAGTAAATGAGGAAGAACCAGAGAGTTCAGAGCAATGTCTGGATGACGAGGGAGATGACGATGATTATCTGGTGCAAGAAATTGAGCCCAATTCCAAAACCACTCCAGTGAAATGCGTTAAGGAATTTGACGTTGTGAGAACATCAAGAAAAATTCCATTCAGAAATGTTGAACCTGTTACCCAGATGCAACCTGATTCAAACCTTGCCAGTGCCAACATCATTGAAGGTACACATGAAGAATACTTACCTGAACCAGCATACTTACCTGAAACTCAGTCTTTTTCTGGACCAGCCTCTGTCCACAGTGATGTGATACCTGAAAGGGAAGTGTTGGAAGAGAGAATATGTCTGTCTGAAACAGAGCAACAAAGTCTGAATGCCCATGCAAATTCCAGAATGGAGAATGAAACCAACACTAACACAGAACAAAATCAAAAATCCATACCTCATATTCCAGTGGAAGGAGACAGACTGGATCCGGTTGAATCTGCAACACCTGAAGAAGACACAGAATCGGATGAATGTGAAGCTGAAAGTAGATTAAGGATGTCCAAAAGAGTGAGACAAAGATCCAAAAGATTGACTTACCCTGAGTTGGGAAATCCCATGATATCTATTATTCAATCTCTTCTGCAAGGGTTGAACACAGCTTTCATTGAAATGTTAGAGCAACCCATATCGGTTAAACACCCTAAGAAATAGGCCTTAACACTGATTATAAGGCATCATCACAACGCAAAGGGACTTGCGTGGATTTTAAGAGGGGAGGGTGTAACCCATGTTAAATTTGGATAATATAATTGCATGTTCTAATAGCTTAACTTTTAATTAAAAAAGTTGAAACGATCTATTCATATACATTGTGAATTAATTAATATAAATTGAAATAATATGCATTGTAATTTAGCCACGAACACGTGATGTATTACATGTACACAAGTTGCGTATGACGTCAGCGCATGACACACGGAAGTGTGCGAGACGCGCTGAACGCGAGACGAGAGATGCGCTGAACATGAGATGAGTGATGCAGAAATGGATTAATAAGAATGGTGATTGCTGATTTGAGTGCAGATGCTAGCCGATTGTGAAGCTTCTTTGAATCTGAAACAGGTGTTTAAAAAAAACCTGTGAAACTCGGGATTTGGTCAGGTTTACTGCTTCGTTGGAAAAATTCTCTCATGGATTTGAGATGGCGAGCCACCCAAAATTGAATGCTGATTTCTGAGCCTGGGGAAAAGACATTTTTGCTGTATCACAAGGTTTTCGTTGCGCCAGAGACATCAATTTCTTCAGTTAGGAGGACTTTGCTTTGTTCTGTTTGGACCACTTCTTCAAACTGGTAGGATTGAACTGATTGTGAATTTACCCACTGGATCTCTTAAAGGATTTTCTGGACGATATTCAAGAGACAATTTAAACAAAGAGTTAGAACAAGGGTGTTGTTTATTTAACGTTATTGAATGTGAGTCACATGTGAATATTGAATTTCCTTTTACCATTTCATTGTGACAATAAGTTTCAGTTGGTCAAATTATTGTTTACATCATTTTATTTTGTTTAAGGGATTATTTTGGTTTGTTTAAACACGGTATAGGAAATTATGGCACAAAAAGCAGAGTAGAATAATAACCTTAAACTCTCAAATAAAAAAAAACGAAAGACAGGGAGCTGTCCAAAAGAAATACAGAACAATCTAATAAGAGTCTTACTAAAGACATATGTAAACAGAGACAAAATAGATAACATTGATAAAACTGATATAAGGAAAAAAAAAGGGATTTAAACCTTGAAAGAATAAGATAAGACACTCCAAAGACCACAGAAGATTTATAATTTGTGTATTATTTTATTGTTTTGTTATTATTGTTGTTTTATTTTATGTATTTGACTGTTCAATTAATAATTACAAATACTTTCCTTACTTGATGTCTGTGATTCATTTACTGCCAATATTCTGTTCTCCACTGACCTAGAAACTGGTCCATTGCTCCAACCTACGTTGAGGGCCCTTGTTACATGAGTATTGCTGTAGTGCTGGAAATCAGTCACGTGATCAGCTGAAGCCCAATCACAGATCAACAGCGCTCTTAGTGCAATATGAATTAAATATTGGGCACATGATGAAAGCATGTCGATCCAGACTATTAGGTGTAACTTTCACTGGCTTTTGACCGGTAAGACACTCAGAGAGGAAGAATAACAACAGAAAACTGGAAAGAGTGTGTCAGAGAAGGTGGTTGTGAATGTGTGTATATGTGTGTTCGTTACAGGATCAGAGAATGACACCGTTCCTCTGTCATAGTTCAGATCAACTCTCACACAATCAAGATCCTGTTCAACAGGAAAACCAAACTCTTCAAGTGCTCCATACGGATCATACTCCACACACCAGACATCTGCATTAAAGAAAACACGTCTCTTCCTCTGGTTTGATGCTGTAGTTACACCAAGTCTCCAGCATTCACTCTCTTTAACCTCCACATCCCAGCGGTGTGTTCCTGAGTTAAAACCCTCTGATCCCAGAACACAAAGAAAGTCAAATCTCTCTGGATTATCAGGAAGAGGTTGTTCATCCCAACTGCTTCTCACACTGGTCAGATCATCAGACAGGGCGAGAAATGGATTTGCAGTGTTTGGATCCAGAATCACAGGAGCTGATGAGACACAATAAACCAATGTTTTTATTCTGATCTTCACATAATGATCATGAGTGAAACACACAGATTATTATAAAATATGACACTCATCCTATTGATCAAACACATCAGACATTTTCCTCTGATAATAAAAATTAATGTGTAACTAAAAACACTGACTGATCAGTGTTTAATGGCATCAGCAACAAACATTAAATGTGCGATTCAAACTAGTGCTGTTGTGGTAGTCAAGCTTGTTACCTTCCCTTATAATTACAGTATATGAGGATCGTAGGCCAATTGGCTGTCGCCAGGGGGATATAAAGTGCGACAGACCTGTGCGGTACGTCAACGTCATTTGTCGACGTCACTGACGCGCCGCAAACACTTTACTGTGGCTGCTTCCTACATCAGGTGTGGACATTAGAGAGGTGAGAACGCTTGGTGACTTTGAGATCGTTGTTATAAATTTAGTAATTAATGTTCCCGGGTTGCGTGTGTTTTCTTTGCACCTTAGTGAGATCTTGATTGCCATTTCCTCTCGTAAAGTGCGAGTCAGCTGTTCCGTTTTCATGCGGACGCACTGTTGCGGTGACTACCGTTGTTGGGTGTGTGCGCTCCGATTATGCACGCATCATTCATCTTCGGTATGTCTAACAAGCGTTTACTAAGTTCCGGTGAGGTTCTATAGTAGTAATATTAAATGGTGACATTCTATTTTATTCCAGGGCTCTCCCTAAAACGTTGAAGAGCGTAAGCTGATTGTCATTGCCATCCCTCTCGTGTGATTCAAATCAACGGATTCGTTTCTCCTGTAGATCTCGCGCTGCTGTGGCTGCTAGTTGGGCGCGTTTCACGTCCTGCCCATGGATAGCATTGCTGTTTTGTTTGGTTTTGTTTTGTGCTGATTTTGATTTACATTTCCTATTTTCTTTTGGTTAAGTCAGCTTTATTTACGTTTGAAAATACGTGAAACTATTTGTTTGTTTTTTTTTGCTTTTGCATATCCTGATTTATTTTATTTTGCTTTCTATTTTTCAAGAACTTTATCTTTTTTCTTTCTGGGGGTTGTTTTGTAGTGTATTTACTTTGTGTGGTTTATTTGATTTATCTTATTAATTGCAGCTTCATTATTCTTTTGTATTTTTTTGTTCGTTTTCCTGCTTAGTTAATTAGAGTAACCTGATTTAGATCAATTTGGTTTATTTTTTCATATACTAAGACCCTATTGTTTTTTTTTTTTTGTTTGTTTTTTTGCATTTCTTTAACTTTTTTTGGTTGATTTATTTGTTTAATTCATGATTTGTATTGTGTGGGAATAATAGGCCCTGTATATTTCTTTTTTCGTTAATTCTCATTTTTGTATTTTTTTTTTTTTTTTTTTTTTTTTGTTAACTACATCAAAATCAAGCAATTTCAGTGTTTTAATAATTTGGTGTGCCTGTGAGTGACTCACATTAAGATTGTTTTGTTCTTGTGCCGCAGGATCTGGGGCCAAAGGCAGGGGGGGCCGACTCTATTCCCTCAAAGTGGTGGTGGTGTGTTCACAGTGTGCCGTGTCCATCCGTGGAGTAAGGTGTGAGTGCGTGTGTTTGTGTGCACTGGTGCAAGGAATGGTTTTCTGTTATAAACAGTCTAATCCCCGATAGCCCGACCCTGCTGGTAAGCCCCAGTTAGCTGGTGTCTCTGTGGCCCTTTTCAGAGCCGAATCCTTATGCTGAGTGATGTTTGACTGATGCCTGATTTATTTTAATGGTTGTTTTAAAATGATTGTTTAACTAAATAAAGTCAACTGCTTTGTATTGTTACCCGTGTCTCTGAGCAATTATTGATGAACGAACTTGCGTGTCCTGTTAGAGACACTAAATTCTCTGGGTGTAACTCCCTGAGTGGCGTAGTTAGCAATCAAGTGCACCTCCGGGTTGCCACATTTTTGGCGCAGTCGGCAGGGTTCATCTTAATAATTTGGCTGAGACATGGGTACATTTTGAGGTTTGATTTTTGGTTAATTTGTTTTGGTTTTTTTTTTCAGTTGTCTGTGACTTTTTGTGTTTGAACAGGACAGCAATGTTTCCATGGGTGGGTTATCCTCTGTAAAATTCTTGTGAGATAGCACTCGTCTTTGGTAAGTTTGCTTTATCTCTGTTAAGATGGAGGCTGAATTGCAGGAATTGAGAGAACTGGTGGCTCAATTGAAAGCTGATAATGTGAGGTTGCAGCAGGCTCAGGTGGCAGTTGAGCTGCCTGAGCCTGATGTTGCTACTGCTAGCACTGCTGCAGTACCACCAGTAATCCCTCAGTCTTCTGTTGCTAGCTCCTCTGCACCCGAAAAGTTTGTTTTTGTACCCCGAGACCGTAGATGCCCGAAGTTTAACGGTAAGACCGGCATAGGTATTGACGAGTGGGTAGAGGGGGCAAGGGCCTGTATGAGGATACGCCATTTGTCTAATGCAGATCAATCATTTTTCCTGTTTGACCATCTGGAGGGAGAGGCTCGTGAGGAAGTTCGTTATCGCTCTGAGATAGAGCGTGGAGACCCTGATAAAATTATTTCAGCCTTGCGCGAACTATATGGCTGCTCTCAGTCGTACGTGGCTTTACAGGAAGCCTTTTTCACCAGAAGGCAACTCGAAGGGGAAACCCTTTTAGAGTTTTCCCTTGCTTTGATGGGCCTTCTGGAGAGGGTCAAAAGTCGCGCCCCTAATGTAATTTCCAATGGTGAGATTTTGTTGCGAGACCAGTTTGTAGAATATGTTACGGATAGTTCATTGCGGCGTGAACTTAAACAACTGGTCCGTCGTCAACCCACCGCTACACTGCTTGAAGTTAGAGGAGAGGCGATTAGGTGGGAACGAGAAGGAATGCCTGGTGGGGCGAGAGGGCGAAGTCATTCTATGCCATTAGCTTATGGCGTCCAGTATGGCGTGCGGGGTGGGCCTGTTGTGGGTGCTGAGAGTTCATCACAGCAGTCAGAGTTGGGTGAACTGCGGGATTTATTAAAACAACAACAGCGGCAGTTAGACCAGCTTACCCAAAGTTTCGCCCGTTTGCAGACTCCTTATGTAAGGGGTCGATCCCCCCGTTCCGGCCCTGTGATTTGTAGACGTTGTCAACGACCCGGACATTTTGCAAGAGATTGTGCTGGGGAACGACTTTCCCCGCGTCCTATGTCACCATCAGTGGGCACCAATACGATTGGAAATGGACAGTCTCGTAACCCACAAATTCCGGGAAACTAGTCCCCGCCGGGCTGTCGAGTCACAACCCGGTCGGGGAAGAAATTGGCTCAAGTAATTTAGATTTTCCCCGCTCATTGTCTCATCTAATGTCATCTTGTCCACATCTGATTGTTTGTATGGGAGGAGTATCAGTACCGTGTTTAGTGGATACTGGTTCTATGGTATCCACAATTACAGAAAGCTGCTTTTTGCAGCATTTCGAACCTTGGGGTCAGGATCGCCTTAAATCTTGCCAATGGTTACAGCTTAGGGCAGCTAATGGGCTTACGATCCCATATGTTGGTTACCTGGAGCTTGATGTCAAGCTTTGTGACAGGGTAGTTTCAGGATGTGGTGTGTTGGTCGTCCGAGACCCCCCCCGGCGGTATGTGTAGGGATGTTCCTGGGGTGCTGGGGATGAACATACTAGGCCGTTGTTATCAGGACTTGTTTGGACAGCATGGCACTGCCCTTTTTGAATTGCCTATTGTTGTGCAGTCCCCGAGTGTTCTGCAAGCATTACAACATTGTCAACAGGTGAGTACTAAGAGTTGTTCAGATCTTACAGGAAACGTACGGGTATGGGGGCGTCAGGTGTGTCGAATCCCTGGGGGCACCATGAAGTTGATTACTGCCACCTGTTCTTCCCAGTATTCTGGCTCTACAGTCCTGTTTGAACCCCCTGAGTCAGGTTTGCCGGCGGGGCTCTTAGCATCCCCTGCACTAGTTAGAGTGACCCATGGTACAGTTTGGGTTCCTATTGTTAATGTTGGCACTGTGGATGTGGTATTGTATCCAACAACTGTGATTGGTAGTTTGAGGGAGGCTTATGTCATCAGTTTACCTACAGGAGTTGTGGAAGTTGACCCGGTTGTCGCTACAGTCCAGTCTCTTTTTTTGGAGACAGCCTCTCCGCTGGCTCAGCAGATTGAGGCCGTTGATTTGTCTGTTTTGTCAGAAGAGGAGCAAGTGCAGGTAAGGGCGCTGCTTCAGAAATATCAAGTGGTGTTTTCAGCTCACGAGGAAGATTTAGGCTGCACTCGTCTAATTTCTCATGATATTCCCTTACTGGATTATACCCCTGTCAGGCAGCGGTACCGACGGATACCTCCGTCAGATTATGAAGTGGTTAAGACCCACATTAATCAGCTACTGGAGACACAGGTCATAAGAGAGAGTAGTAGCCCGTATGCATCCCCCATAGTGTTGGTTAAGAAGAAGGATGGTAGCCTACGCATGTGCGTAGACTACCGTCACTTGAACGCAAAGACCAGAAAGGATGCGTTCCCATTGCCGCGTATAGAGGAGTCTTTGGATTCGTTGACAGGGGCTCGGTGGTTTTCAACATTAGATCTTGCCAGTGGGTATAATCAAGTCCCTGTCACAGAACAAGACAAGTCTATAAATGCTTTCTGTACTCCATTTGGTTTATTTGAATGGAAAAGGATGCCCTTTGGTCTTTGCAATGCGCCCAGCACTTTTCAAAGACTCATGGAGAGGATGTTTGGTGACCAACAGCGACAATCCTTGCTACTTTATCTCGATTACATAATTGTATATTCTTCTTCAATAGCTCAACACTTGGAGCGGTTGGAGGTGGTTCTTCAGACAAGAAGTAAGATACCTGGGGCATGTCATCTCAGCCGATGGGGTGGCCACTGACCCAGGTAAAATTGAGGCTGTGGCGCAGTGGCGGTGCCCTACCAGTGTTTCTGAGTTACGAACGTTTTTGGGTTTTGCTAGTTACTACAGGCGCTTCGTGGAGGGGTTTGCCAAATTGGCTTCTCCCCTGCATAAGTT